TCCTATAGATCACTGTCCAGCTTGGACAGGTCCACAGTCCCTCATCCAAAGCCCCTTGTCTTAGTCACTGTTGTACTACTGTTAAGAAACATCATGACCAAGGCAATTCTTATAAAACAAAACGTTTAACTTTAGTCTACTTTCATCATGGTGGGGAGCATGGCAAGAGCATATGAGCACTCACAGCACTGGAGCAATAGCTTAGAGCTACATCCTGATCTGCAGGCCAAGAGAGAGACAGACTGGGCCTGGCATGAGCTTTTGAAACCTCGAAGACCACCCCCAATGACACATTTCCTCCAACAAGGCCACACCTACTCCAACAAAGCCACACCTCCTATTCCTTCTCAAATAGTGCCACTCCCTGATGACTAAGTATTCAAATATCTGAGCCTATGGGGGCCATATTCAAACTACACACCCCTGAAACAAATATCTTTCAGGGTGTAACCCTTTTTTTTATTTTAGGAAGGTGCTTTAACTCTACACTTCAGCAAAAACTAAGCAGACCTGTAATCAAACATTAATATTTCTGCAACAGAATGAATATTCACATTCACTGGGATGAATAAAAGCTATAAAGTCTCATATCCATTAAGGTTTGCTCATGAGTCTGAAAAATACATTCTGTTTTCTGAGCTTTTAAGATTTTTACATTGTGAGAAAAGAACCATATTCATTGCACCAGTACATTCAATTTTTTTTTTTTCCACTGAGGTCTTTCTTACAAGCCAAATCCAGGTCCAACAAGTCTTCCAACAGTTCAGAACTGGCAATTCTATTAGAAATCACCTTGGGAAACCCCTTACTTCCCTGTTCCGTAACTGAAAGCCCTGGAAGACAAAATGAGTTGCCTGGGATCACATGCTGTATACCTACAGAACTGAAGTAAGTCTACGGTCTCTCCTTCTCTTCCACTCCCTCCTAGTCTCCTCCCATTCCCACTGTGCCTTGATTTGAAGTGATGTATCTCTAAGTTTTTTAAAATACTGAAGTAATCATAGAAGTTGTGAAAATAGGAGAGATTTCTCTGTACCTTGGACCCAGCTTCACTCAACAGTGACAAAGTTTAACTTGTGGCATAATACTGAAATCCTACCCCAAATCAACTTTATTCTACTTTCGTTTTCAGCAGCTTCTCAATCTTGTATTCAGTTTGTGCAGCTTCATCCCTTGTCTAGATTCATGTAACCACCATCACAAGACTCCAAACTGGTCCATCAGCATGATACAGCTTTTCATCATTTTTATTCCTCCCTGTTCCCCACAATGTCACCCATCTAGAAATCACTTATCTGTTCTCCATCTCTACAGTACTGGTATTTTTAAATGATCTAAATGTTGTCTTAGTTTGGCTTCTATTGCTGGGATAAAACACTGACAAGAGGCAGCTTACTGAGTGGATGATTGATTTGGCTTACATACCCGAGTCATAGCCCACTGAGGAAAACCAAGGCAGGAGCCTGGAGGCAGGAGATGATGCAGAGACCATGGCAGGTGGCTCTTCACTGGCTTGCTCTCACTAGCTTGCTCAGCCCCTTTCCTATACAACCTAGAATCACCTGTCCAGGGTGTAGGACCACCCCAGTGGGCTGGGCCCTCCTATATCAATCATTAATCAAGAAAATATACCACAGTCTTGCCTACAAGCCATCCTGAGAGGAGCATTTTCTCAATTGAGGTTCTTTTTTCCCAGATAACCCCAGCTATGTCAAATTGACCAAAATAAAAATAAGATTTAAAAAAACATTGTATAAATGGAATTATACATAATATAAACTTGTGGAACTGAGATCTTAAAAAACTAGTGTTAGAAAGCTGGGTATGGTTAATCCCAGCACTCAGGAAGCAGAGGCAGGGGATGGATCAATGAGAGTTCCAGGCCAGTCAGGGTTACAGTGTGAGGCCCTGTCTTCACAAATAAATAAACAAACAAACTTTGATGAAGTGCACTGCCTGTCCTCGTTGAAGTGTCTATAGTTCAGTAGTGCCAGCATGACTGCTCTTCAGTCTTTTCCTCTGAGTTTGACTACTTGGGATGTTCGTGTAAGTAGAATCACACAGTATATATGTTTTTACGGGTTGCTCATTTCACTTAGCATATATTCTCAAGGTTCATCTCTGTTGTAACATATGCCAGTTGTTTTTTTAAGGTTGATTAACATTCCATTGTATGTATACACCACATTTCATTGATGCATTCACCACTGATGAACACACGAGCTGTTTCTACCTTCTGGCTATTGTAAATAATGATATAAACATATATAAATATATAAATGTCTGAGACTCTTGCTTTAAATTCTTCTGGAAATATATTTAGAAGTGGAATGGCTGAGTCACATGGTAACTCCTGATTTTAAAGAATAAAATTAACTTTTCTCACTTTGAATAATTCCTTTGGGATTCATCCAAGTTGTATGCACTGATATCAATTTTCTTTTTCCTTATCAAGTAGTGTTTGTGTTTGGGAGGGCACATATATGTTCAAATAGATGTGTATACCTTATATTTTGAGACACTGGTCTCTCACTGAACTCATTGAACTCAATTTGTCTCTCACTGAGCTCATTAATTATACAGGCTGGTCAATGGGCTCAAAGGGTCAGCCTGTTTCCATATTGCACCCCAACACTCAGGTTACAGAATCCATTTGTACAACTCTTGGTGCCTAGCTTTTTTGTGGGTACTTGGAATCTAACCTCAGATGCTCAAGCTTGCACTGTAGGCAATTTAGTGACTGAAACATCTCTTCAGCTCCACCAAATAGAATTTTATGGTTATGTATGTATCACAGTTTGATCAATCATTCACCAATAAATGACATTTGGGTTGCTCAGGTTGAGACTATTCTAAATATCCATGTTAAGAGTAACTTCCTCTTAATTATCCACATTTTGCTGACAAGAATTCGGCAAACTTATAGCCAACTTTCAACATTATAAACATTCCTGTATAGGTTCTGATATAGACATGTTTATTTCTTTGGGATAAATGTTTTTTTGTTTTGTTTTGTTTTGTTTTTTTGTTTTTTGAGACAGGGTTTCTCTATGTAGCTTTGCGCCTTCCTGGAACTTGCTTTGTAGACCAGGCTGGCCTCAAACTCACAAAGATCCGCCTGCCTCCGCCTCCCGAGTGCTGGGATTAAAGGCGTGCGCCGCCACCACCGCCCGGCTTCTTTGGGATAAATGTTTAAGAGCTGGATCAATGAGATGTATAATATATATTTAATCTTATAAGAAACTGCTGTTTTCCAGATTGGCCATACCAATTTACATTTCCTATAAGCAAAGCATGCAAAATCTGTTTTTTCTGTTTCTTCACCAGGATGTCAGATTGTCAGTGCTTATTTTATTCCTTCTCCTAAGCACGTGACAGCATCTCACAGTGATGTAAATCTGCATTTCTCTAAGAGCTAATGGCATTGAACAATCAGAAGCCCACCTGCCATCTTTCTGTCCAGCTGTACTGTTTCCTTTTCCACTACTGAGTTTGAGACAAGGTCTCTTGTTTAGCCCAGAGTTTGCTGGTTTAGCTAGACTAGCTGACCAGCGAGCCCTAGGAATCCTCCAATCTCTACATCCTCAGTGCTGGAATTACAAGCCTCCAGCCTCTTTACATGGTTGCTGGGCTTCAATTTCAGGTCGCCGTGTTGGCACAAACACTGTACTGGCAAAGTTATCTTCTTAATGTTTGAGATAAATTACAAATCGTGAGGTCTGAGTTGTCTTCTAAACGATAAACGGTTTTCTTAAACCTAAAGGCAGGTTTAACGCTAGTCTAGCATTAAGTGGTAAAAGCCTCAAGATCATGACTTTTACATGAATAATCCTATACCTGGATATGTGTTAAGAGCTGTCTACTTTGTCTGTCTCTCCCGTCTTAATCTTTCTGTAGGTGAACACTTCAGTAGTGGGGAAATGAAAATTAGTCTATTCCACTTTTAAAATACCACTTCTTGAATATGACTCAATAAATACACGTCTCTGATTGTTATCTTCACAAGTCACTGAAGCATCTGCACCTCTAATAGTTAAGCGAAACTGTGAAAACCTCCAAGTTTTTCCTCTTAAGAAGATCACTTATCCACTGAGCTGAGCCGAATAGAATAATGTTAAAGAGACACTAAAGAATGTCTTAAAAGGTCAAAGGAAAAAGGGATAAAAGAACTGGCCAGGCTCAGAGCTAGCATGAGCGTACCCAGGGAAAAAGAAAAAAAGGACGGAGTGGGCACGGGTGACGAAAGAACTACCCAGGCTCAGTTAGCGTGAGTGTCCTGGCAATGATAACGACGATGAAAAGGCGGGTGGGTACGGGTGGGTCGGCGGGTGGCTCACCTGGCCGTGGTGAGCAGAGGATGCTGAGTGCCCACCAGCTTCCGCAGCTGCATCGCGATGTTGCTGAGCTCGTCACTCAGCAGGCAGCGGAGGCTCATGAAGGAGGCGGGATAACCCACGATCTTTTCGGCCTCGGATACCACCTGGTTCCAATGGGCCGGAGACCTGGAGGACCGACCACGCCGGGAACCTACGGACGAGATGGTGTCGAGGGACCTGGAGCACCACCACTGGCGATGTGGGGGACCAGAGGCCCCCAGATAACCGGACAAGCGCGACAGCAGCTGCCGAAGGCTCATGGTTTGGAGTCTGAGAGGGTCAGGCACCCAGGGAAAGGTGTCCAGAGAGGGCACGGGAAACAAGGGCTGACGAGGAACTTTCAGAATCTAAAAGTTAACAGGCCCTCGGAGAAATGTGGCTTTTCTGGAGCCGTAACCGGGAACAAAGTTTGCTGCTTCTGCAACCCAAGCTGGCGGGACGGCAGCCGCCGCTCACAACTACACGAGCCACCTGTGGTAAAACCACAGGCACGGTCTACATGGGGGGCGCCATATTGGAGGCATGGAACGCGGCCTGCCGTAAGGATAGGGGCGGGCTGAGGAACGGCCGGGAGGGCGCCTTACTTTACGGCACAGCCGAGACCGCCCCCGGAGGGGCGGGGCTTTGGTGGTGACCGGAAGGCGAGGGGACGCTTGGCAGCTCCTGCCCTTCCTTGGACCTCAGTGTCCGCCCTGCGGGGGTGGCGCTAGGGCGCCTCACCTCCGCTCTGGATCTGGACGGCTTCGGGGTCGCCAGAGCGTCTCCCCCGGCCCAGCGCAGAGTGAAGCTTATGTAAATGATTATCTGTGTCCTGAGCCGGCGCCTGCCGCGAGGTCGTGGGGCCGTGGCTCGGGCTCGCGGGGAAGCCTTTCGCTTCCGTCCGCCTTAGGCCCTCGCTGGTGGGCGCGGACTCTGGAGGGGCCGCCCCTGCAGCTGGGCGACGTCTGCGCTGCGGACCCCCGCAGAAATGGGACCCACGTCGGTCGGTGGGGCTGAGCCCAGGTTCCCTCAGCGATCTGGCCGACGTGTTAGGGTTTCTCCCGTGAAAAAGCCCAGACAGAAGCAGCTTTGCCTTCTGCACAAGGATGCTGTGAGGATGGAATGAAATGTTGCCTGCTTCCGTCTCCAGGATTGAAAATTCACTGGCCTGACTGCATTTCGCATATTGGCTTCCTTAATCTTTTGTTGCATTTTAATGATAATACTATTCCCTGCATTTTGGGAACACTGAGTGCTGCACAGCCAAATTGTAAATTACTATGATCAGTTTAAGCAAGCGTGTGAACCCAGGCCTCATGCACAAATGCTAGGCTGGTGCTTTACTTCTGAGCCACATACCAGACTTAACAGTTTGCTTATTTGAATACATACTCTTAACAACAACATTAAGTAATATGCTTCCAAAAATTCTTTTCTTCTCGTTGCTAAAGGATTCTTGTCAGTATGATGATGACTTCAGTATTGGATGGAACTTTTTGTTATAGGCCTCAGTGGCCTGAGATTTACTATGTAGCAGAGCCTGACCTGTAACTTGTGATCCTCATGCACCTATCAAATTCTGGAATTACAGATGAGGACCACTCCACCTATTCAAGTATGTCTAGCATCTTGCCCTTTCTCGTTACTCAAAACAAGTGTTAAAGTCGCAAAACCCTCGGTTCAATGCGTTGTGCCCCCCTCCCCCAAAAAAAGTAAAATTAAGTAAAGTAAAATAATAAAAGACTTGTTACCTACATTTTACAATCAGGAATAGTTTTTAAAACTCAAGCTTTCAGCCGGGCATTGGTGGCGCACGCCTTTAATCCCAGCACTCGGGAGGCAGAGCCAGGCGGATCTCTGTGAGTTCGAGGCCAGCCTGGGCTACCAAGTGAGCTCCAGGAAAGGCGCAAAGCTACACAGAGAAACCCTGTCTCGAAAAACCAAAAAAAAAAAAAACTCAAGCTTTCAAAATTAATAGTTAATATTTTTAATTTCACATCATGTAAGTGAAATAGACTTTTAAACTACATATAAAATTAAGATTTAAAAGACAAAAGAACTTGTTCACACTGTAAAACAAAATGCTTTTATCTAAAGAAGGTTTATTAGCTGGAGATCTCTTTGAATACCAGATCTCCTGTGATTTTAAATTTCTCTCTTAGGGCCAGAATAGTGGTGCTTGCCAGCGCTTGGGAGGCAGAGGCAGAAGGATCTCTGAGTTCAAGGGCAGCCTGGTCTTCATAACCAGTTGTAGGCTAGCTAGGCAGGGCACCATAGTGAGACCCTGTATCAAAATAAATAAATAAATAAATAAATAAATAAATAAATAAATAAATAAATAAATAAATAAATAAATAAATAAAAATTCTACTTTATTTGCAAAAAATTCAGTGTAGATAAAAGTTAGGAGTACATTTTATTGAAGGTGAATTACGTTTAAAAACAGTCTCCCCACAAGGGAGGTAAACTGATTTTTAGAAATAGTTTTTATATAAGAGATACATTCCTAGCAATAAAGCCCAAGTCTGTTACTGTGTAAAAGTGAATGTGAAAAGTGAAGTATTTTACCATTCTAAAAAGTTCCAAGGCCTGAGCTTCTGGGTTATCCAAGGAGAAAGAAGTCATGAAAATCCAGAGAGAAAAGAGACTGAATGTGATATATTGTGCACCTGAGGCTGTTTCTTTGCGATCCTGGTACCTTAAAAGTAACTTCTCATGCATTTGCCTTAATAACAATTCACAGCATGTACTTTAATTTCTCCACAGAAGCCAAGTACATTATTCTCTGGTCATACTCTATTAACCAGGTTTTTGATTATTCATGGGACTTCTAGTCTCATTTATTTTAAATAACCAGCACTTTCCTTTATACTTACAGTTAAAAGGTTGCATTATACCTAATGATAATCAGTTTTATAAGGTTAAAAGTATATTTGTTCTTTAATCCTCCAGATAAATACATATTTCCTTAAATCTTTGTAGCTAAAGAAATGTCCGAATTGCTGGTGACTTTTGCAGGAGCATGGAGGTGGTGTGTCTGAGATTCTACCCTTCCTTTGCCACTGACAATAGTGTGTGTGTGTGTGTGTGTGTGTGTGTGTGTGTGTGTGTGTGTTCATAAAAAAATACAGGAGAGTTTCCCAGCTTCAGCATTATTGACATTTTGAAACATGATTCTTGCTTGAGGGGGAAAGAAATCTGCCCTAATTCTTGTAAGATATTTGGCAGCATCCCTGACCTGTGCCCACTAGATTCCCAGAAGTACCTTTTCCAAATTGTGACAACCAGATATGTCATCTCTAAACATTGGTGAGTATCTGTCCCCAGTAGGGCAAACTAGCCTACTGGAATAGGAGAGATACTGAAAGCAAAACCTATCTCCAACCATGATGTTTATTCCCCCCAAAGCATCAAGGGAAAGCCCTGCAAGATTGTAGTCAGCCATACTCCAATTGGCTAATGGAACTTTTTCAAAGACAGCAAACTAACAAAAGATGGTCATGTTTCTCCTCAGAATCCTTTCTCAGTGAGTAGACTTACTTAGACAACTCTCTGCATTTAGCCAACCTTAGAAAGAGGCAAGGCCATATTTTGTGGCTTCTTCTTTGACTGAAAACAAGTTAATCTTTAGAAATACAAGTGTTAAGATTGGTGATGCTGGGGGCATTAGTATTCTCATGATTTTGTGATTAAACACAGAGACATTGCTACCACCCATCTGTCACCCTTTATGCAACCGCCCCTTGTTAATCCTGGGAGAGTTCTCTCATGAGCAAAGGAGAGCATTGTTGTACACATTGAAGCCAGATGATAAGGGGATCCAAGTTAAAAAAAAAACCCACAAGTTTGATCACCTGCCTGATTGACAGCCTAAGAGAAGTAGGGATGGCACCTACTGCCACTCCACTGAGACTACAAAATAGTACACAGCAATTAGATAATCATGATATTATTATGTATACATTTGCCTTTTGACCCAGAAATATCAATTCTAAGAACCAATTCCAAAATACAAAGTGACTGAAGTGGTTGTAGGCAGCAGTTTTCCTGTCCCAACCTCCCAGTCCCAAATAAATGACTCAGAGTCTGAATATGAATTATAAATGCTCGACCAATAGCTCAGACTTATTACTAATTAGCTCTTATATTTAAATTAACCCATATTTCTATCTATGCTTTGCCATGTGGCCTGGTACCTTTTCTTAGTACAATGTGCCCATTTTGCTCTCTCTGCATTTGCTGGTGACTCTCAACTCTGCCCTTTTCCTTCCCAGCATTCTCAGTTTGGCTCTCCCACCTAACCTTATTCTGCTCAGCTATTGGCCAATCAGCTTGTTTGGTAAACCAATCACAGTGACAAATCTTCACAGTGTACAAAGAGATTATTCCATAACATTTCCCCCTTTTTGTCTAATTAAAGAGGAAGGTTTTAACTTTAACATAGTAAAATCATGTACAACAAAAATAGTTATCAAGTAAGAATCACAATCATAATATCCAGTCTATTTGCATTTGACAAAATCAGAGAAAATACTCCATTATCTATCTTACCTTTGTGAGGTCAAACTTTTGAACATAATTTACCTTTTATCATCACTGAGGAAAACTATAACTATCTAACCTTCAACTCCATGAAAGACCCCAGAAAGGTGAAATGTTACCTAATGACAGGGATATCTCACTGCCTGGACAGTCACCCAAAGTTCCTCTACAACATTGGGGCATCCAACTCTGACCTACAGGCCTAGCATATCTGACAGACTTTCCTGTGAAGCAGGGAATTCTGGAGGACTGTCTTACCTTGTCTTGGCAAAGTTCAGCAGTTGCCTTTCTTGTGTCCTGCTGGTCCAGTTTGGACAGTAACCGTCAGCAATTGCAGCAAGGGCAGTTTCTTTGTCCACATGGCTAGCTTTTGACATAAAGAAAACAAACTCCTTACAGAGTTTCTTCAATGCTCATCATCTTCTCTGAAATATATTGGTTCTACCAGGAGCAGACATGTCTCACTGTCATAAAACAACAACAACAACAACAACAACATCAAAACCCTTATATTATTAAAGCACCTTAAATACTGTATTCTGTAGGTCTTTGAAGTGCTTGAAGACAATTCAAATGGACTGGACATTGTTAATGTATTTCTTGCCTATATATATTTTTATATAGTTATTGTACTTATTGTATATAATTTTATTATGTTAGTTAAAACCTTCACTTTTTATTTAGACAAAAAGGGGGAAATGCTGTATGATATTTTGATTGTGTTCTAAGAAATAAAGCTTGCTTGGAATCAGAGGGCAGAGCTAGCCACTAACTGACCATAGAGGTTTGGAGGACTGTATCTCAGCCCTTTTGGATGGAGGAATGGGAGAGGTAGGAAGTGACTGTGGCTGCTCCCCTGCTTCTCTGATCTTTCAAGTTTTTACCCCGATATCTGACTCTCATTTTTTATTGATAAGATTAATTAATTATATGAATGCTTCAAGTAGTTGTTCATTACTATGTTGTTTTAAATAGAAAATAATCCAAACAACCTCAAAGTGTAGACTAATTGAATAAACTAAGGCAGATTCATCTTGAGACATGTGACAACTGACAAAAAATGAGGGCCATCCCTACATATATCTTTCAGGATATATATCAAATTAAAAAATACAGGGTACAGGTCAGTATAACATTTTTTGAAATAGATAGGTAAACCCTGAATATGTTTTGGCATCTATTCTAAACAGGAAGGAACAGAGATCAGCATGGGGACTAGTAGCTGTTCTATTGGCTGTATAACTTTGGTTTTAGAATCATGTATAATTTTTATATGTTCAAAATAATTTGAAATACAAAAGAAAAATCTAATACCTGGAATTTGAAAATTAACTGAAGCAAATGATGTAACTGCACATTAAGTTGCTGTGTCATAGCCACACCAAGTAAATAATGAAATGACTTAAGAGAATGGTATTTTCGCCATGCATTGCCCATAGAATACATTCCCTGCATGAGCAGGTCTCATTCTTACTGTTCATAGAAATATAGATGCTATTACTTCCAAACTGATCTCATATGTTATATACAAAAACAAATAGGGGAAATGTTAGGAATGAGGATTTTTTAGAGTAAGTAGAATCCATATAATACTAAAGTTCAATTAGAAATAGTAAGTTTATGACTTTTTCTTTTAAAAATGTTTCTTATATCTCAGTAAGAAAATTTTTGTATTTATTGAAAAAAGCATTTGCTTGCTTTACCCCTTAAGAAGGCCTGGAAGTGATGGCAATTGTATAGTATAAGAATATTTAGTGCTGTGTTGTATTTTGACACATTGCTTTCATTTGGTGGGGACGACATTGCTTTCTTTAAAAAGTAAGGAGGTTGTAAAATTCTTGTGCACTGTTTGCTGGCCCAGGTGGAAAGGTCTTCACAGTGTGCAGTTTGTCAGAATGCTGACGTTTGGTAGTTGGGGTGCTTTGGGAATCAGATCTTTGGCACTTGGGGTGCTTTGGGAACCAGGTGCTTTACAGGTCCTTAAGAAGCTGGAATAAAGGGATAAAACCTGAACAGAGCCAGCAACTAACAAATCAGGGTGGGGCTCGGTGAATTGTGGGGGGGAAAGCACTTTTAGTTGGGTGGGGGAAAGGGACGGGCGGATATAATGTAAATACGTTATAAACATTTATAAAACTACCAAAAATAAAGTAACTTAGCAAGAAGTAAGGAGGTGCTTTGGAGGAATAGTAGATTGCATACTGGGAAAAAAAAATGTAATAAACCTGAAATAGCCTGAGGACCCAAAAATTAAGAAAGCTGTTTAAATCTTAAGGATTAGTGGGACAGGACAAAGATGCAAAGACATCAACATAAACGGGCTGAGGGGGACAAGTGAGCATCAAAAAAAATACTAAAATTGATTGGCACTAATTGATTACGTCTGAGCTCATGAGTTCATTACTAAATGTAACTTGGGCAACAATCTGAATATCGTCAATTGAATGAAAGAATCAAGTGTTTATTCTGCCTTTCCTGTATGAATTCTATTTAGTGGTCTCTTATCCTGGCATACCCCCTTGAAAACTGAGCCTGAGACAAGGGCTTCCTTTTTAGGTGGTTGATTTTGGACAGTGGTCTCAGGAAATAGCAGTGCATAACTAGGGAAAGTGAAACAGAGAGTCAATATGAGAGTGTTCTCGAATTAGTCATCACTGTGGGCAAGGAGGCCTTGAGCCACGGAGAATGTACTTACTAACTGCCAGCTGATGTAAGGAGAGAGCAGTTATTTAGCGTCTTTCACCTCCAGTTGGTCTAAATTTCCCTCTTAGGGCTCTCCTTCACACCTCCAGGGTGTCATAAGTGTGTTAGGCAAATGTATCCCACACCTCATGGAATCAGAAGAGATGGAGACACAGAGGCAGAAATGAGATGTATACATGTCCCAAATGTATGCCAATGTATACAATGAGGAGAGGTGCTGTTGAATGATGTTTATAAGAAACAGATAGCCACAGAAATGGCCATAGCGAAAGGTGGGTTGGGAGGGTGTAAAACAAGGAACAGGTCCCTACTAGTGGGATAACCAACTTGCTAGATCAATGAGAAAAGGCTCTTCATGGTAAAAAATAAGTCCACTGAATAAAAAAAGAAAGGGTAGAATTAGGAAACTGCCATTTTGTAATTCTTTATAGATTCATTGATTCAAGTATCAGTTGTTCATCAGTGAGAGGCTGGCAGAGCACTTTGCCCGGGAGAGCATGGGCTGAAACCCTCTGGAAAGAGTACTCTGTCTCGGTGCCAACGGGGAAGGTCCATGCACGCATGCCTCCTGATGGGGGCATCACAAAGCACACACCACCTAAGCGATATTTTATCTAAAATCATTGACTCTAGATGCCATCAGCTCTCTAGTTTCCAATCTTTAACAGCTGTAGGGGAATAGAACAATTAAAATGCCATTGCAAGGAAACCGACCAACAGATCCAGCCCACGGAACAACTGTAAGCAAGCTGCATGAGTTTCTGCAGCAGGATAAGGAGAAAAGAGAGCGCATAAAGGGATCCCTCTAGACGGAGTTTTTAAGAGAACTAACTAACCATGTGCAACATACAGACTTGTTTGGACCTCACTCTAACAAGCTGACTATAAAAACTCAAATGTGAATATGCTTTTGATATATCAAATACCGCAAAGGGGTTATTAATCTGTAGGTCTGTAAGAAAAATGTCAACATTTTAAAATGATGCACACTAAAGCATATAAGAATAAGATAACAGTATCAGGAATTTGCCTTCCAGCATGAAAGAAGCCAGGATTTGCAGACCTAGGCCTGTGACCCTGGCTACTCCAAGAAAGAGCGGGGGGATCATAAGATCAAGGCTCCCCTGGGCTTCAGAGTAAACTCAGAGCTGGTCTGAGCAACTTTGTGAAATTCTTACTTTAAAAAATAAATAAATGAATGAAACAAGTACTCTAAAATCCAGGACACTTTTGATTTTGGTTTCTAGGCAAATGGTATTGATTTTGCCCTTCTACTGTATATGCAGATTTCCTGTGAGAAAAGTAATTGTTTTGGAAACAGGTGTCACGAGATAGCCCAGGCTGGTGTCAGACTTCTGAGACTCAGTCTTACAAGTGACAGGATTACAGGTATGTGCCCCATGTCAGGCGGGATTTAAAACACTGGAGGAAGCAAGTAAGTGTCTTCATCTCTACTGTACAAATAGAAGGAAGTGAAAGAACTTGGCCAAAGGGAAAAAATTAGAAGGTCGAAGAGTCAGAATTAAGTAAATTGCAATAACTAACACAATTATCTATTATACTTCATATCATTTACTAAAGTGGATCTGCCACTAACACATGATAGACCAGTGACAATAACTTAGTGCTCTCCGTGGAGACACTCTCAGTTCCTTTTGCCACTCTACCCCGAAGTTGTCTTTATCTTTTATTTATCATTCCTTAAAAATACTATTTAATAATATATGTATTCCTAAAAATATATCATTTGGCTTGCTATTTTTAACTTAAAGCCGAAGTTCAGTGCTAGTGGCAATTTTTAATGTTTTCTGTTTACTCAACATTATTTTGCTGAGATTCACCTGTAGCAATGTATATGGTGGCATTTCAATCATTGTCACTGCTAAATAGCATCCATTGTGTGACAACACTACACTTTCTCCCTTCACTTGTTGGAGAATATTTGAATTACTTTGATATATAACCCAAATATTCTCCAACAAGTGAATAAATGTGTTTTTATGTATATAGTATGTGTGATGCACATACATATGTATATATGCATGGTCTCATGTATGGGAGCAGACGTTTGTATGATCACACATGCACATTGTGTATATTCGTGTGGAAGTTGACCGTCTTCTCTAATCACTCTATACTTTACTTACTTAGGCAGAAAAATCGAGCTGGAATCAGGGCCTGACAATTTGGCTACCCTAGCTGGGCACCTTGGCCCTGGACTCTTGCCTCCCTTCCTGAGCACTGGGATTGCAGGACACGGGCTTCCTGATACTTTACCTGGGTTCTGGGAATCCAGACTCCAACCCCGGCACTTGCTCGGCATGTGCTTTATCCAACACACCATCTCCTGTTAAAATAATGTCATCGTGAACAAGTTCATGGATGTGTCCAGGTGCATCTGGCAAAAGATTATGGTTTGCAATGGAATCTGCTTTGGGGTGTGTGAATATTCAACTATAATAAATTGTTTCAAACAGCTTTCCAAAGTAGCTTCTCCAGTTTATACTTCATCAGCTACTTATGAGGGATCCTGTTGATCAGATTGTCTCAAAACATGACATTGTCAGACTTCTTCCAACAAACAGGTGTGTGGAACCTCATTACTGTGAGCGTCTGCTCCTGTCTTTCCGCTGGATTATGGACTGCACGTTCTCCGTGCAAGAAAGGGGAAAGTGTTTAAACCCACAACTCTTCACTGTGCCTCTTCTTCCCCACGTGCTCATCCCTCATAGTCACAACAGCCTTTTCTTGCCATTTCCTTCCAATGTCCCAAGTGTTTGACCTTAGAACTGCTGTATTTGGGGAGGAAATGGACCACGACCCATGCTCCCTTTTCTAGTTTCTCTTCCTACAGGCCCACGGTGTGGAATCGGCTAGCAGGGCAGCTAGTTAATTTCACACTAGGATTAGCTCAACAGGAGAAGTTGGTCTTGCCAGGGAACTATTTTCTTTAGAAACTTGGATGGGGAAGATTTCTGCTGAGGTTTTCACTTGAACATAGACAGTATTATAAAAGGCCAGCCACCTGGGTTTTACAGCTCTGCCCTGAATAACTACATGGTCATAAGGCTCACCTTTTCGTTCCTCTGAGTTTGAAGTTACTCGTCTGTAAAAACAAAAGTAGGCGATCCCTTGGGTCCTTTTAAGTGCCAAAATGATTTTAAACAAAATTAGCGAGTAGACTGATGCTTGGGGTCGTTTTCTTCTCCCTCTGTCTTCGCTTCCCTCGCCCCAGCCTGACGGATCTTAGTATTAGCCTTGGCTCAGAGCTGAAGTCTACAGAGAGGACCGAGGCCAGAGAGCATCCTTTGTGCTGCATCTCTTCTTCTCCTCGTTTATTTGAGACAGATTCTCATGTTTCCGTCCTTGAGTTTGCTAAACAGCCAAGGATGACCTTGAGCTCCTGACTCTGCTGTCTCTGCCTCCCAAGTGCTGGATTGTAGACATACATCACCAAGTCCACCTAGCACAAGTCTTTAGACACTGTTGGCCACTGCCTCCCAAATGCTCAATGCTGCTTTTGTTGGTACCTTACAGTGTCTGTGGTCAATTGATGAATAATAAATAAACAAACTTATTCTCCTTTCCCACTGTCACACATTCTGTCTTAGAAGTTTTCTGAATTGGGTTTTATGTGTCACCACACCATCTGAATCAAAGTCTCCAGGCTTGAGGACCAGATATCAGTATCTTTCAAATATTCTCCAGGAATTTCTAACATGCAGGCAGGTTGGGACTACTTTTCTAAACGATGATCTAGCTTTTTACTGTTGTTCCCTTTCCTCCTCACTTCCTTCCCCCTCCTCTTGTCTTCCCTTACTCCTCTCCTTCATTTTTTCTTTGCTTCTTTTTCCTTTTTTTAGAAAGACAGATAAAAGTCCATTTCCTAAAATTCTGGTGAGTTTATATATATTACTTTTGTTGTATAGAATGTAATATGAGGTAAAGGGGAGTTAGGACATACACACATACATACATAATACACACACACACCTACATAAATTGTACAGTGCCATGGCATCATATCAGCAACTGATACCCTAAAGTATGTAACTCCTAAAGGATATGAACAAATTTCTTCTGTCTTAAAAACACATTTTTTTTCTCTAACACTGGACAATCTTTCAATCAAGGTTACACACACACACACACACACACACACACACACACACACACAAAAAAAAAAATCCACATCAGTAAGCAATCACTTTATACACATTTGTGAAAAAGCCAGTCAAGCTTTTTGTTGATAAGTTCAGTGACCAGTTGAGTGAAGTACCATGAGCTCACTCTAGTTCCTTTCTAAGAACAGCTATGGCTCAGCGTCTGTTTAAGAGTGCTTGCTGTTCTTGCAGAAAGCCCCAGGACAGTTCCCAGCACCCTCACGGTGGCTTACAACTCCAGTTCCGGAGGATCTGGTGCCCTCTTGTGGCCTCTGTAAGCACGAGGCATGTGCACAGCTCATACACATAAGAGAGACACAAGGGGGCGGCGGGGGGGGGGGGGAGCTCTGTTATTAACATTGCTAATATGGGCCAGGCGGCCGTGGCGCACGCCTTTAATCCCAGCACTCGGGAGGCAGAGGCAGGAGGATCTCTGTGAGTTGGAGGCCAGCCTGGGCTACCAAGTGAGTTCCAGGAAAGGCACAAAGCTACACAGAGAAACCCTGTCTCGAAAAACCAAAAAAAAACCAAACAAAACAACAACAACAAAAAAAATATTGCTAATATGGAAGCAGTGCTATCAACTTGACCAGCTGCGAAAAATTTGCTAAAGATCATTCGAGAAGATCAGGTGGTAAGGGCAAACCATGTCCAGCTGATTCCCAGAGACCCACGTAAGAGAGATGTCACTGTCAACTACCATAGTATCAGAGCAGTTTCTTAAGATTGTCCTTGTTTAAATCACCCAGAGGAACTCTGCTGTATTCCGGTCTTTGAAACCATGCCATAAATAAACATCTGTAGTAAATATGTTTGAACATTATAGGGCTTGTAGGACCATGTTGGGAGTAATTGAAGTGCATAACAAAATAAAAGGAATATGCTGATGCCAGAGCACTAAGAGTCACTTTAGTTTTCCAAGAATAAAAGAGACTATGTCTCTAAAGTCTAAACAAAGAATAACTACAAAGGCTGTTCTTTCCATGGACGGTGACAGAGCTTGGTGATTAAGAGGTCAGACATGGGAGCCGGATGCCCTGTGCTGGCATCCAGCTTTGCAGTTAACCAGCAGTGCAATGTTGAAAGATCCTCTAAACTACCAGTACTGCAGCTTTCTCGTTTGTAAAATGGGAAGAAGAATACTAAGCACTATCAATGGGCAATTATTAAGAATAGCATGAGCTCATAAATACAAGGACCTTAGCTCAGTGGCTGGCATAGAGTAAGCTTATAATACAAACTCCCCTTGGCCTCCAGTATTCAAGGGGAGGGCTTTTTACCTTCAAACCAAAAGGGAATATGAAGCTCTTTTATTTCTTAAACTTTTAGGAAGACAGCTGTTTCTAATTCCCAAACAAATAATACAATTTACCCACATAGCATAAGCACATAGATGCAAACAGACAATTGAAATGCTGTGATGCTTTTGAATGTCACAGTAATTTTGTTTTAAGGCTGTTCCCACTTATAGGGCTTAAAATTTGTAATTTAATTAAATTTTTTAAAATTTGAGACATGGTCTACCTCTAGCCCAGGCTTACCTGGAACTCACTATGTAGCCCAGGCTAGCATTGAGCTCACCATAATCCTCCTGTCTTATCTTCTAAATTGCCAGAATTACAAGAATGAACTACCATGCTGGCTTTTTATAATATTATTTTAGAGATTATTATTTATTATTAAAGACATCTTTTAAAACTTTTATTTGTTTAGTTTATATGTATGTGTGTGTGTGTGCCTGAGTGTATTATATGCACCGTATTCATGCAGGAGCCCTGTGGAGGTCAGAAGAGGGCGTTAGATCCTCTGGGACTGGAATTACAGGTTGCCATATGAGTTGCCATATGTGTGCTAGGAACTGAAACTTAGTCTTCTCGGTTCTCTGCAAGAGCAGTAAATGCTCTTCACTGCTGAGCTGTCTCTCCAGCCCTGAAGAGATCTTTTGAATTAGGCTTCTCATGATGTTGCTTGTTTTTATTATATATAATTTTTTGTTCTAGTTTTTTTTCTTTTAAAAAAGATTTATAGCCAGGCGGTGGTGGCGCATGCCTTTAATCCCAGCACTTGGGAGGCAGAGCCAGGTGGATCTTTGTGAGTTCGAGGCTGGCCTGGTCTACAGTGCGAGATCCAGGACAGGCTCCAAAGCTACACAGAGAAACCCTGTCTCGAAAAACCAAAAAAGAAAAAAAAAAAAGATTTGTTTTTTTTTAAATCATACACACACACACACACACACACACACACACACACACACACACACACACACGAGTGTAGGTGCCTAAGGAGACTAGAGGCTTTGGATTCTCTGGAGCTGGAGTGACAAGCAGTTGTGAGTCCCCTGACGTGGGTGCTGGGAACCAAACTCAGTCCTCTGCGAGCACTTAACCACTGAGTCATCTCCCCAGCTCTGTGGTAGAAAAATGTAAACCTCACACAAAATGAAAAAAAAAAAAAAAAAAAGAGCAACAAGCCCTTATGCACTAGTTTGAGCAATTATCAGCATTTTGTAATCCCCTTCCCAACAGTACCAGAACATTATTAATCAAATCTCAGATAATATAACATAAACATTTCAGAAGTAAATACCTCCTTTCAAAAAAAGTAATCCCAGGACAACTGTGACTAACACAATCATCACATTTCTTATCATTCAATCGGCTTTAGAAATGTCTTTATAAAATGTGCTTACTTCAGTTTATAAATATTTGGCTTTGAAGTTTGGAAGATGGCTGACTTCACACTTCCTCCACAGGGAGGTAAGCTGCTACAGAGGCAATCTGAAATGTCATTAACAATCAACAGGCTGGAGAAATGGGTCTCACAGGAGGTCTGCGCATGTGTGTAATGCTGACCTAGGATTCTGGGACATGACATTGGATTATCTTGCTGCTGGAGAAAGAAGAAAAGAATGCTTCTAAAGAGTCAGGGCTCAATGACTAATGCATGTGCCATTGAGCCTCATGAGCTGGGCTCCGTCTCTGGAACCGACATGATGAAGGAGCAAAAACAACTCCTGAAAGTTGTCCTCTGATCTCCACGCAAATGCCTGGGAATTGCACACATCAGCACATGAAAACAAGGCCTTAAATGACTGCTTAAAAAATTAGAGTGGAGATGGGTGGTGGTGGCGGCGGCGGCGCACCCGGGAGGCAGAGGCAGGCAGATCTCTGTGAGTCTGAAGCCAGCCTGGTCTACAAAGTGAGTTCCAGGACAGCCAGGGCTACACAGAAAAACCCCACCCTGAAAAACAAAACAAAGAAACAAATTAAAGTGGCTGTGATGTAGAAAGCAGAAGGAGCCTTCTGTGGGCATGCAAGACCCCTATGCTGTGTGGATCTGGCCAACATCTGTCTTCAGGAATCTTCTGGGTGTGGTCCCAGCTGTCCGTTGATGCACTCTCTTCCTTCAAAATATTTCACAGGACTTATTTGTGACATTTATACTTTTCTTCTCATATTTTATAGCCATGTCTCAGGCTTCCTTCCTTCCTTCCTTCCTCCCTTTTTTTCTTTCTTTCTTTCTCTACTGAACCATTTGTATACTTTTGAGGACTTACATCTGCATTTTTTATTGGACTTCATTTTTAGTGTTTTTAATGTTGATTTAATGGCTGCCAAAGCAGCCCCCGAGTATTTGAATGAGGAGACACTTGGTAATTACTTTATAGGTTACTTATAATTATCAGAATAAC